CCCTAAAGCCTGCCTTGAAATAAAACCCTCTTTTGTTGTAAACCAATAGCCCGCTTCGCCAAAACACAAGTCAGTTCAGACGTTTTGGCTAGGAGAGTATCCCCGTTTTAAAAATAAAACGAGAAAAAACGAAACATCAATTATTTGTACTGCTGCCCATTGGAAGACGTCTACACGTGACGCATTAAACCAATCGATGTAACCACTCATAGGTTAGTGGACTCTTCATCAAACGGAGGTAAAAATCTATACGCAGACGATGGCGGTGGGAAAGAATTCCACATTAATTACCATTCACGAATAGCTACGGCGTATAGAGCCGATTTGTTCATAAAACAAAATATCGAACGTTATGTTAGAGTGACCGGAAACATAACTCAGCATCATGCGCTAAGGAAAATTGCACTGAATAATATTGCGCTAGAAGAAAATTGCTCGCCAAAATAAAATGCGCAAAATAAAAATTACGCATAAATAAAAACTGCAAACAGAATATTGTTTTGTATAGTTGACCAGAGTTTCTTCCAGGCATCTCTTCGGGGGGGGGATTTTTTACCGCCCCCCGAACGAAATGAAATTTATATAATTTATATAGAAAATATATACTTTTAACAGTGTCCGCCCCCCCCCCCCCCCGAAGAAAGTTTACCGCCCCCCCCCCCCCCGAAAATTTCAAGTGCCCCCCCCCCCCCGGAGAAAAAAGTCTGGAAGAAACACTGTAGTTGACAAAAGCATGACGTAATTTTAACACAATTAAAATCGATGAGTAATTTACCAGCACGAATAGAAATTAAAGAAATATCAAGATTTGAACGTCACAAACACCAACGAAACAGAATAAAGTATATAATTAAAATAGAAAATATGTACCTTAACCAGTTTAATCGGTTGATCTGAAATTGAGGCACTTGTTGAAGTCAACTTGATGTCCCTGTGATTAATATTTAAAACCTATTTATATCTTCTTGTGGCTACAATTGGTATGCAGCTTATGTAGGCTATACGTCAGGAATCACAACAATCATTATATCACATGGACAAGTTGTACCGTGTTGTGGTTATATTAGTGGTCCTACAGTTTCTCTATATGGAACGGCGTGGTCGAATGGTAGAGCTTTTGGTTGCTAACCCGAAGGTTTCGAGTAAGATCTGGATAGGACGTTTACCCAGGTCTGATGGGCATTTGACTTGCGTTACAGTTATGGAAAGTAAAGACGGCTGTCCGATGGACCTTTAGTTCTAAAGAGGAATCTTTTTTTTACTTTACAGTTTCTCTGAGTAGAGGAGAGGCAGGCATGTAATGAATAAGTAGAAGGTATTATTAATATATGGTTACTACTATCACTGAAGAGAAAGCATGAACTATATTTATTTGTTACTCTCAAACATCTTAGGGTGGGAGCCATTGTTCCCTCTAAGGGGAAAAAGATCGTGAGCAGAGTGCATTTTGTATGCGCGGTGTTCTAAAAGTCTTATTCAAGGATACATGTATTGTAGAAAATTGACTACGCGGCAGTTTAAAACTACTGCGCGGCCGCGCTACCGCGCAGGTTAGAGGGAACATAGGAGCGTGGTCAGGAGGGAGAGCGTATGATTGCCAACTCCAGAAGTCAGAGTTTGAAGTCACGGGCAGATGAGGCTCGATAGCTGGGACAACAACTTATCTAGGAGAGAAAACTCCAAAATCAAACAACAGCAGCATTGTTGTTTGTTCTTGGATTGACAGAGGCTATGGAGGCTAATCCAGAAAAAAAAGCAGGCTGAAAGCGTTTAAGTAATACTTAATTATGAACTATGTTGAAGAAAATATTTTCCAATTTTGCTATTAAGAACAAAGGAGAAAAAGAAACAACCAGCACTTTGCCATGTAGCTTTTTTTTTTTTATTATTATTTTTTTTTTTTTGTGTGGCAAGGGCTATGATCGCAAATCGCAATTCTAGAAAGAAAAGGAGGCGGAAATCGGGGCAATGGGGTATAAGGCGAATAACACGATGACACGTAATGCTTAATTGTGTTGGAGGAAATCCTCTTTGAAATGACAACTTAGAACGAAGAAGAATCCACACGTCCATAAATGACGTCACACTCGTAGGAGGGAGGGGGGGGGCGTAATTTTGTGACGGTGTGTGATGAGGGGGAGGGGGGGGGGGTCAGATGTTGCGACGTCACACTTTTGGATTATAAAAAAGCAATGCTAGAAAACTAATTTTAGAAGTTGTTTTGCGTTTTAGAAAACTGTTTTAATAAATTGTAATAGTAATTGATCAAAATACTCTACGTTGACAGAGTTCAGACAAGATTTTGGAAAAATATCGATGTTTTAAGAAAGAATTCAACTGCAATTTTGAGTGGGGTTGTAGGCGGAGGTGTGACGTCATTTTAGGGAAGGGGTCTGGCTTTTTGTGACGATGTCCAAAAAAGCGTGACTTCATTTATGGATGACCCCTTGGTGCCCTAACATCTGTACACCTCTAACCACAGCCAAGTTGGTCTTGCCCACCCTGCGCCCACCATCCGCCACTGAGACCAGCAACTGATGTAGAGGCGTCGCGAGGCAGAGATGACACCCGACCTAGCGACGCCACTGAACTGATGTAAGCATTGATCTGTCTGTCTGTGTGACACAGTAACCAGGTCTAACCGGGATAAACGAGGTTTATATGCTCAACCCGCCTAATACAAAACGCGGTGTTTAGATAAGGCGTTTGATTCCTCGATTAGCGGCCCGATTGATTTGCTGCGTGGGCTAAATTGAGTAGATTTTTTTATAGAGTGAATTACTCCCCTTGGGCTGTTTGTATACGAGATCTCTGCAATGGTATAAAAATAAATGTCCCTATGATTTTAGAGGCGTTGCTATAGCCAGTGTTTCTTACAGACTTTTTTCCGGGGGGGGGGGGGGGGGGCGGACAACATTTTCCGAAGAGGGGACGGGGGAAGGGGGGGGGAATGACGGACACTGGTAAAAGGATGTTTTCTATATTAATTTCATTTCGTTCGGGTGGGAGGGGGTGGGGGGGGGGGGTGGGGGGAGGGCGGTAGACTGGAAGAGATGCCTGGAAGAAAGTCTGGCTACATCACTCGTGCAATTATTTTTAAAATCAAACTTCAGACATCCAATATAACAGTTCGATTACTGCACAACAAAGGTAAATTAGTATTTATTTATTACTTTTAAATAAAATAACTGATTGAAAACTTTTTTTTTAGAAATTATATTTCCTCTGGATTGTGTTTAATTTTCGTAGATGGGGGCGGGGAATATGTGAAACTAAATGGCGTCAGAAGACTTGGTGAGGATAGGGTGGGGGGAATCAGGTATTTTGCGACTGGGTCAGAGTTTTTTCCAGGCATCTCTTCGGGGGGGGGGGGGGGGCGGCAATCTCCGAAGAAAGTCTACCGTCCCCCGAATGAAATGGATTTTATGTAGAAAACATACTTTTATCAGTATCCGCACCCCTCCCCCCCCCCTCGGAAAATGTTGTCCGTCATAGCCCCCCCTCCCCTCCCCGAAAATTTGAAGTGTTCCCCGAAAAAAGTCTGGAAGAAATACTGCTGAGGAGAGTTGAAAATCGCAAGTCGTCAAATATGGAGCGACCCTTAAGCCTTAACTAAAAAGACAAAAAAATCTTAACGTAATTAATTAAATAGCAGATCAAACTAAAACCATATTGTACCTGATATAGATTCTCTAGTAACTTAAGAGTGATATAGTTTCCCTACCCATTTAAATTTTAAGTATCGAAATCAGGCAGAGCGGGTAATGACGACCAGATTTCGATGTAAGTTGCCAAATCGGATTAATTATTCACCCCAAAAGGATCTGTTTTAGATGCTGAGTAAGTCAATGGGGGACCATCAAAACTTTACGGCCCGAGGCGTAAATTGGCATGACGTCAGAATGGGTTTTATTCGTGCTGGACACGAATACTGAGCTGGTACATTAAGACAGTAAATTGTTGTGATCATGCACTTTCGTGGTAGTTTTAATGCATTCCCTGCCATGATGTTGGCGGTCGTTTGTGGTCTTGTTGGGTAGGCAGATCTTGAGGATGTGAGAAAAGTTTGAATTGCTCTATAAGATGTTTTTAATATAAATTTATATCGATATAAGTGGACATCAGGAACGACAAGGGTGTGAATACTTACATATATATATATATATATATATATATATATATATATATATACAGAGTTTCTTCTTTGCCCCCCCCCCCCGGAAAAATTCTACCGCCACCCCCCCCCCCCCCCAACGATATGAAATTTATATAGAAAATATATACTTTTAACAGTGTCCACCCCCCCCCCCCCCAAAATTTCAAGTGCCCCCCCGGACAAAAAAGTCTGGAAGAAACACTGTATATATATATATCTTGTATTCGACTCCACTGACACCACTAATTCCTGCCTACTTATATAATTTCGATACTCTTTAATTTAAAAAAAAAAGTAAATATAAGTGAGACGAGCATACTTTCAATTTTCTAACCCACCCCCCCCTCCCACTGGTGTATATATATCTCCACCCCTTATATAAAATATAAATAAAAAGCTATATTAAATTATGACATTGTTTTTGGCTATTTAAAATTGTGAAGTCTTGTCAAAGTTAGTTTTTATTTTAATTTTTTTCTCTCACTATGAACATTTTAGAAAAAAAAAATTTAGTTTCCTCGCCCCCACTTTTTGTACTTCTGTTAATATGCCTATGAGATACAAGGCAGATGTCTGTTTTCAATTTTTTAAAATTAGAGCATCATTCACAACCACTACACACCATTTACTATTTGAAATTACACCATATTTCCTATTCATACCCAAGACGCATGGGTCAGATGAACCAGAGTTCATCTGTTTAAATGACCTCTACATACAGTGAGATCATGTAGTCAGCACTATACCCAGCCGCCTGTTTCCCTAACGTGAGTCAGGTGCCCACCATAGCAGACACAACTCAGAGACCTCCTACAGACAAAGTAAACACAACAGAACACAGCACTGATGCGTTAAACCTTATTTATTTAGACAAACAAGATTTGAAGTTAAGCCAAAACCAATCCACGTATAGGAGTAAACCAAACTACATTGAAAGTACCAAGATTTTAAAATAAATATGTATCGGACTACGACTTGGGAGAAAGATTTTTAAATCAAAGAAATTAAAGTCAATGGAAATTTTTTAAAAGCATATTATTTTGGTAAATAAGCAGAAAAAGGATGCTAATGAAGAGGAGTTTATCTATAAAACTATAATGTGTATTTATTTTAATTAGTAGATATATAATGTCAAATGAGCTTTTAAAGGTAACACAATTTGTTTTGTATACATATGCTGAATGCTGTTATATTGACATATACAGAGCATGAAGCTGGAAGTGTTGGTTTTATAGTATAAAGAAGTAATATATTTTTGGACATATATTTCATAGTTTTTATTTAATATATATTTCTTGAGCTTATAATTATATTTATACTCATTTAGAATGAGCTTTTATTTTGATTATTTTAGAATAAAATATCTATGATTTAGAATAAAAACAGTTTTGGCATATTTAATTGGGATATTAGTTAATAATAAAGATAACAGTCTGATTAAATGTTAAAGATCTTTGAATAATATAAAATTTTAAGGCAGACTTGAATAATGCGTTAAATGTACTATTTAAAAATAAACCTCTGACCACCTTATAATAATGATGCTTTAAATGAAATAGATTTGGTATTCCAGTGTATAAAACTTGATGACTCAGCAGTGTATATTGGTTGGCAAGCAAGACATTAAGAGGTACCATGTTTACCCTACACACATAAAGAGAGATATTCATCAAAATAACAGCAGTGTTCTTTGGTTACGCCAATCCCATGTTACAGCTAAGGGAATCTTTTACATTTGCTTTGTGTTCAACTTTTAAAATAAGTTTATTTTTGTAAACTTGTATAACAAATTACATTTTCATGCGTAAGATTAACATTTTATTTGGCCTAATAATGCCTCTATTTGTAAAACATTTTTAAATTTACTAATAATTTAAAATACATTTTAAAAATTCCTATCGCAACCTAAAAAACAATTTTTGAACACATTATAGAGATGACAAAAGAAAAATACCAGGATAAGGATTGGCTTACCACCAAAAAACAAGAAATGCGTTATATTTTTCTAATACCTCCTTTAAGAAAAAACCCTGAAGCTTGGATGTTAAGTCACTTGCACAGCTTGAAAGATCCCTGTGTAAAACCCTACAGGAACTTTCAGCTGTTCTTTCCTCACTTCTGGCAGCATCTTGGAGTACCTTGATGCATGATGACTTGTAACAAGCACTGGGGTTGGTTGAGAGGAATCTTGGTGTTGTGCTTCTGGGTTCATGGTTCGTTTATTCCTACAAGTGGAAACACCACAGAAGGAATTAGGACCAGTTTTCAGCAACGGATTTCCAGGACCGTACGTAGTTGGGGGAGAATTACGGCACTGTCGATGATTGAACTTTTCAAGGATCAGCTTCTCTAGGTGACTAAGAGATGGGTTGGCGTCACTGGTGAAACACATGCAGGTGCAAAAATCTGTAGAATCATCCTGTGTTGAAGACTGAGACCCATCAGGTGCACATGGTAAAACAGAAGACTGTGATTGTGTGGAGTGATGACTCCCACCAAGGGGGTCACAGATACCAGGGTTTCTCCTAGCACGTTTCCTAGGATTACTAGACCCATGACCACGACATCCACGGCTCCCAATCGTTGACACTGCTTGTTCAGGCTTGTGCGAAAAAGAAACTCCAAGCATGCTCATCAGCTTTGGTTTGAGGCTTGCCACCGCCCACAGTTGTGAAAGCAGAGAATCAAGAAACAGGATCGACCACAGGGAAGCTGAAGCAGGTCTGTTCTCAGGATCTTCAGCGTTCAACGAATAATTAACCTGTTGTGTTTCACAATCTTCGTTTCTAGATATCTCAGACATTAAGCTCTCTATAGGAATTGTATCTCCTCCACCAAAATCTTGAGTAGAATTCTTTTCTTCCTTACTATCAAAGTTTTCAAAGCCAGATTCGTTGGGGTGTAGGGCCATGTTTGAGGAGGTGAAATCATAAGGAGGCGGAGAAGGCGCCAAACCCAAGGGAGATAACCCATGGGAGAAGATGGCAGTCTGAGGGGCGGTCTGGAGGGTGAAGAATGCAACAGCAGCTGAGGATAGTGGTGCAGAGACTTGTACAGCCAGAGCAGTAGATCCAAGCATGCTGAGGATGCTGGTCAAGTACACCGCAGAAATGGCGCTCATCAGCTGGAAAGTTTAAAAAAACAGAAATACATTATTTTTTTAAGATCTCTTTAAAGTTTTAGTCTTTACTCTAACTAAAAAGTGTTTTAGTTATAGTATTTAGACTAGTTATATCACGAAAATTGTACACTGTCTCTGAATCTTTCCTTAAAAATTATTAGGTAAAAACATTTTTATAGTTTATTTCTATATTAAATCAAATGACATTACATTGTACGCTATTTTTGGAACTAAAGTGTAATTTACATTTTTTTTAGACTTTTAGTTTCTTTCAAAATTTGCAAACATTACTTTATTGATATACCTCCAGTGAATTCTCATTTCTTATTAGAATTAAATACTTAGACCTACAATAACTCAAGGCATTTAACAATAAATGTGTTGTTTATTCAGTTTCAATCACCTTACAAGGATAAAAATATAACCAAAACAAAATAGAGATAACGGATCTAAAATGATATAAATAAATTTCTATTGTTTATAATAAACCTTTCATATCATGATTGGAAAAAATAAAATCATCCAGTGAACAGTTAATGTTACCTTGGTACATTCTACTCCAACCTGCATCCACATTGTCCCCAGAAAGTCAGAGTTCAGTAGCACATCAAGTTCCGCATAAGTAAACCAGTTCCGTTTCAGTCCCTCTTGTAACGCTAGCCTTCAAACAAAATGAAATCAAATTACTCAGTTTTATTTTAGTGCCTATTTTAATGCAATCTTTAAAAAATAAAATCACAAATAAATAGAATACAATTTTAGTAGTTCCTGTAATGAAAGTCTGAAAACAAAATAAGGAATTAAAATACTCAGCTTAAGTTTTATTGTAATGCAACCTTAAAAAATATAAAGATAAATGAATACAACTCAATGTGTGTATACCCTTTAACGTGAACGTTAAAACAAAATAAAAACTAAAAATGTACAAAATTTTAAACATTTGTGCACCCATATACATAAAGTTAGTTTCATTCACAGATGTCCTTACCTTCTTTCAATGGAAACCAAGGTATCTTCAAACTCATCAGGCCTAACAAAGAGCTTCCAGTCCTAGCAAGGAAAGCCAAAACAAAATACCTGAGTCTCAATAAATACATTTTAGAAGTGAAGTCTTTAGTCAGAGAAATTACAAATTTGATGTTTTGAGTTCTCTCTAGTATGTTTTAAACATAATAATTGGTTTAATGTTGTAAAGAATTGAACAAGTCTATACTACTTTATCTATGACTCACAAATTACAGAAAAATTTAACCGTAATTTTCTTTTTTTTTTAAAAATGATACACTTTAAATTACATGAAAGAAAAGCAAAATAATTATAAGGGAGATCAGCATTTCCATTAGTTATTTCCAAGTACTCTCCCTTGATTCAAACAAACATGATGTTTATATTATTACCATTGCTTGCAAGAAATCGACTTCCATTTTGTTTACATCATCCACATCCTGATCAGTGTTATCGGCCCATTCATCATTGAATACTTCCTCATCAACGCCTTCATCGTACAAGTATTTGCTAGCCATCATCTGGGAAAATATTTTTAATCAGCATAAATTTTTTGTAAAGTTAAAATTACTTTTTGCACATGTTTATTACATCCTTGAGGAAACCAATGCACATATTGACAGAGATTTTAAAGAAATGCAAGAACCTACCATAGAGATAAAAAAGATATCAGAAGATGAAACTGTACTCAGATACTCTTTATTTCTCTGTCTTAGTCTCTTGGCATACAACATGGAGAGCACCACTGAACAGGGGGAGACTCTGTTAGACCTGTGGACATCCAGAAAAAACTTAGCCTTTGTAGAACTTCTAAGACAGTAACAAGTGACAGTCACACTCTCAAAGGTATATGTGTTAGTTAAGATGAAATCTGGGTTTAACTTAAGTTAGTTGAATGTTCACACAGCTCTGGTGCATGATTCACAATAGGGAAAAATAAAGACAGCTGGGCATAGTGCTGACTACAATATCCCTTCATATGAAGAGGTAGCAGAAACAGGTGATTTCTAATTCACATGCCATATGGACAGTGGCGTAGCGAGGTCGGGTGTCACCCGGTGCGGCACTAAATGGTGTCACACCCCCCCCCCCCCCAGAGGCGTAGTAACCCTTCCCGGGGACAAACTTTCAAATTTTCGATTTGCACCCCCCCCCCCTCAAACTTTCGATTTGCACCCCCCCTCAAGTTTTTCTCTATATATTTTGCTATTTTTTGCCTTGGTGTCACCCCTCTAAATGGTGTCACCCGGTGCTGTCCGCACCCCCCCCCCCACCCCGCTACGCCCCTGCATATGGACCATCAGATTTGAAAGGGAAGTTTACTTAAGGAAATAGGGGATGGTTTGGTTGGACAGTAGTGTGCCAAAATGAAAATTCTTAACAGTATTGTATCATTTTATTGAAAATACTAAATATTAGTCACTATGTTAGGTAAGATAAGTAGGCCTAGGGGATGGTGTGATCTGGCAGTAAAGTGGACTACTGCTAAACCAAAGTCACAAATTTTGATGCTGGGCTAAAGTCAGTACATTGTGTCTGAGTCCACCCATCTCTGATGGGCAAGTGATTCACTTTTGGGAAATTAAAGGCAACTGGGCACAGAACTGCCAAGGACACAGAAACTTCAAATAAAAATGCTAATCTGCCACTCAACCAGGACAACCATTACATATTTAGCCACAGGACCTAAAATAATTTTGATTATGTAGTGGTAAATTTATTTTTGAAACAAAGTTGCATTTTGTTAAAAAATACACAGTGGTAACTCAGTATGAAAAGCATTCATTAAAAAACTGTCCTTACTTGATGACATTCGAGGCAGTATCTATATCAATATGGCCAAGTTTTTGTGATGCACTGTCATGGAAATATCCCACTGCAAGTTCTGTTCAGGTAGGAGAAGAAAATAGATACATTACATTATATTTAAAAATCAATGTACTTATTTTCTTCATTTTCTAAAAAATTATTTTAAATAAAATTGCATAAGTTTATGAAATATATATATATATATATATATATATATATATATATATATATATATATATATATATATATATATATATATATATATATATATATATATATATATATATATTATATATATATCCTAATATATAAAAGAACAAGAACAAAATAAACAATGACGTCACATGCCATATGCTTAGACTATGGAAAGAACACAACACTAATGGCATCATCTTTCAATTTTAGAATATGAAGAAATGAACTATTTCATTAAAATTTGATTAAGACCTAGATTCTATATATCTACTTATCAAGACGTACGCTATGAAATGTAAAAATTTTCTCAGTCAAACTAATACAAATTACTTTAAAAACAACATAATGACCATTGAACAGCTTGCTTTTTAACAGAATCATTTACGTCTTTTAATCAGTATGTACATTTAATATGGTGTTGTGTTGACTAATAATGTATATAATATGGTTTTAATTTTTCTAATAGGTATTTGCAGCCTACGTTATTTCAAACGTGTTGGATTCTTAGCTATTTAGTTATTTCATTGCTTTGTCACTAATATCGTTCACATGTAGTAAAGCACATAGCATTTTGAACGATAACTATTTTATAAATTATTTTTTTCCAAATAAGTAGGGTTTAACAGTAAAAATATATAGGCCTATAATTCATGTGGAATGGCTAGTATATATATATATATATATTATTTATAAGGCCTTTGATTATTATGTAAAGTAAAGCTTTTAAATCAATAATAATAACCTAATAAAGAAAAATAAAAAAATTATATACAAACCTGTTAGTGGAAGAGATGGTTTACTTAAGTCTGACATTTCTCCATAGTAAAGTCGTCTTTTCATTCTTTTGTGAAACTTGGAATCCATTCTTTTCTGAAAAATTATTTTTACCACTGTAGATCTATAAGTTTGTTTCTACAATTAACCAGCAAATACTAAAATTACTTAAATAACCAATGTATGTATACTATTTACTATTATATCCTGATATTTATGTAACTTTATTAATTACACTACTGTAGCATAGTTTATCAATTAGTGTCATCTACAAAAGGCTACTGTACAGAATAACAATAATTAATAATAAACTAGACCTAGATTATAGTAGTTTTAAAGTCACAAAAACTTTAAGAGTAATCTATGCCTAATCCAAGTGCTTTATCAACATACTGAAGTGACATCTAGAGTTTAGGATCTAGACTTTCTTAATTTTTTTGAGGTTGTGTAAGAAGAACTTAAAAATTACAATTAAAAAAAAATTACAATCATACAATTTGAACTGTATTTTTTTTTAAAAAAGGAATGTAACTCTTCAATTCAATGATTTCATGAATAATGGCAAAAATCAAAGTTGAAAATTTTATAAATGATTGCCAAGGCATCAAGACATCCAGCACGACACACAACACTATGCGTGCGTGGTATGTGGCCTGACAGACTGAAAGGAGATTGTTTATATTATTGTTTTGAGTTTATATTTAACTCAATGCAACGAGCCCTCTGGTTGGTCGAGGCCACGACGGGGGACGTTCTGACCGGGATTCAAAGGGACGACTCGAAATATCATCCAATAGTGCTTAAAAATATAGATTCTAACTAGATTTTCTTCTAGAATCTAATCTAATGCCTAATAGATCTAGAATCTAGATCTAGTGGAAAAGGGGTGTCCGGTGTAGTGTAGGGGGTGACGTAAATTCGTAAAATAAAGTAAAGAAATTGATTATGAAAGTTTCGTTAGGCCTACTTAAACTTACTACTTAGTACTAGAATCTAGATCTAGACTTAGTTTACTACAATACTTTTACTAGTCTAGATTCTAGACTAGATTACTAGATTTCTAATTAATTGCCGCACCGTACACTGGCGTACACTAAGTGACGACAAATCCCAGTCGGCAAGTTAGGACTTTCACAACACATGACATAGAATCTAGTAGGACTAGACTAGTCTTAAGTCTAGGTCTAGGCCTACTCTAGGCGTCAATAGGCGGACTAGATCTAGATTATTACTATTTGTCTATTTTATTTAATTAAACTAACCTCTCTCATCTCTGATATTGAGTAATCCACAAAATATTCGGTTCTTGAAAAAAGAATCTTATATTCCAAAATGATAGATTCTAATAATTAATGAACTCTAGTACTAGTCTAACAACCCCTACTTCGTCGCCATATTGATTACGAACAGTAACAATGTTGAGGTCATGTAGAATGACGATTGTAAAATGCCAGATAAATATCTTTAACTTTGTTTATGTTTTAAATAGAAATAATGTTACTTTTACAGCAGTAGTATAGGCCTAGAATCTAGATATAGTAATATTTAGGCCTAATCAGTATCAATTAATTAAGACCCGAGTAATAAAAAACGACTTCGTCTATTAATTTAACAAACGGGTCGGCTATAAATAAATATAGCCAATACTTTTGAAATGAAATGTTGATCTACATATTGTCTGTTATTTTAAATGTTGTTTAACATATTAATTATCTGCTAAAAATATTATGATGATAATGATACTGATACGTCTCCCTTGCGTAAAATAATATTTTAAATTCTTTTGTTTCAATGCATGTTTACATTTAAGTCCATCGTTACTATATTAGATATTTACCTTGATGAGGTTTGGTTTAATTTTCATTTTGTAATTTGGTAAGAAAGGCAAAGTTGTAACTTATGGCCTATATCAAAGCACCTCAATTGTTAATTTTAAACATTAAAATAAATAAATAAATATAATTACGGTGGTCTAGTTCTCATTGTTACAGTAGGCTACAGATAGGTGACATAAAGATCTGACGGGTGTTTAGGATTAGAAGTATATGAAACTGCATCAAAGCATATGCCATATCAGGGGTCTCCAAACTACGGCCCGCGGGCGGATCCGGCCCGCGAGGTCCTCTCATCCGGCCCGCGGAGATCTTTTTGTCAACGAAAAAAAAATGTTTGAGGTGGCTGAGGAAAAATTCAAAACAAATTGAAAATATCTTTGGGTGCAAAAGTACCATTGCCAACCGTGTTGCAGACATTGTTGAAAACATTGTGAATCAAATAGCGAAAAATGCAAGCAAGTTTCGCCATTTTTCAATTGCAACTGATGAGTCGCTGGACAGCTGTTCCACCTCTCAACTGCTCGTGTTTATTACAGATGTGGATGAAGACAAGAAGATAACACAAGAGCTGGATTCCCTTTATAACATGTATGGCACTGTTACCGAAGAGGATATTCAATGAGTTAAAAAAAATTGCTTATTATAACTAATTGGCCTGGACTAACTTCTGTTACCTGACTTTTGATGGAGGAAAGTACATGAGTGTCATAAAGAACGATTTGATTGGACAAACGAATGAGAAAAACATTATACAACCAATGTCCCTGCACTACGTATTATTCACCAGCAAGCTATGTGGACATTAGCAGTGTACTGAATCTTGCGTTGAAGATGGTGAATTTAAGGTCACATGGGCTCATCCATAGATTGTTCAGAGACATGTTGAAAGATACAAACACAGAATCGCAAGAATTACCATATTTCACAGGAGTAAGATCGCTAAGTTGCGTGAAATTTATATGTAAATTTAATATCGTCGGTCGAGGGGGGAAGACGGTAGACGTTCTTCAGGGGATGGAGGGGGGGAGGGGGGGGGGGGCTCTGCCACCCCAACGAGATGCCTGGAAGACACTCTGGCCCCCGAACTAATATTTGATAGTTAATGCCGCCTTCGGGCTCAAAAGTTTGGAGACCCCTGTGCTATAGATGGATATATATGGAAGTGTTCACATTTCATACAATGAAAAGAAATTATAGTTTGAAATCCCCCCACCCCCTTCGTGTCCAAATAAGGTATAATATCAGTTATTTCGTTCCGATAAATTGTTACATTACCTATTGATCTTGAGTTGCGTGGGAGAGGGAGATGATGCAGGTTTGATGTACAGCCCCCCCCCCACCCCCGCATCACGGAAACAGGCCTTAAGGAAACTCTTTGTGGTTCTATAAGGATAGGGCACCAATGTTTGTGACTTTTAAGGACGCATGTAGGTCCGTCTTTATTTTGTAATTCTATTACATTTGATAAATATAGCTGTAAGTGGGGGATCATCCATAAAAGGCCCTAGGGGCCATTTTACTCCCACTATCGAATGTCATACGCCGCCATAGAAAGCCAGCACTTCCCGAAATATTGACCCCGGCGATTTCTTTCTAAGATATTTATTAAGGTTGGTCAACACTGAGAATATTGATAATTTCAAAACACGAAATAGGGTGTCAAATTCAGCTTCTTAATTAATTTTTAAAATGCAAAATTGTGTTGTCACATTTTCTGAGCTCGCCCCCCCCCCCCCACCCCTTCGTCACACATCGTTACGGAAGTCACCCCATTCCCTCTTCGTGTGGTGTCGTTAACAGACGGAGTAAAAATCAGCACACAAAAATGTAACGTTATAATTATAAACGACAAGATTGATTGCATGGCAATGGCATGCATATTTTTAGTCACAGAAAAGTAGTTTACCAAGTTAAAACACATAGGCTACAATTACAAACACATTAATATAACACTCTAAATTTGATTATCTCCTAAAAGCAAACAAATGACACTTTTTTAGGCTGACTCCATTCATTACAAAAATATTTTAATACAATCCTATTGAAATGCAATCCTATCTATGGCGAACTTTATACAAAATTATCTGGCTGCCTGCTGAGCAATTGATGTTTTGCTAGATAGGCTAGGCCTGGTTTTATTGTAGTAGAACGATGATGTCATACTAGCGGCCCGGTTGTCAGTTTGATCAATTTTTAAATTCTAGGTTCCAAATTATTTTCTACTTTCCTCTGAAAAGTGTAGTATCAGTGTCTTTAAAAAAAAATCATTCAAACTTTTGTTTATTTTTTATTCAAAAGTAAATCATTATTTTCTGTGAGCTTGACGAACAAAAGTAATAAGAGTAGTTTACCAATAGTAAACCTTTAAATGAATCAGCAAAATAATAATTTTTAAAAATACCTGATTACATTAGATTTAGAACTAAGCATTTTTAATTATAAATTGTGAATTTAACTGCGTTTTAATTTTTTAAAGCTTATTTCGTTTAAGCGGTGTTTTAGCAGTCTTATTTAAATGTCAAATGATTCATAAAATTGCTGTTTGAAAGATAAGTATTAGTCATTTTTAGGCTACCTTAGAATCAAAATTCGAAAAGTTGATTTCGCATGAATTGTTTAAATATTTAGATCTAGATCTATATAAATTCTAGATCTAGTGAACGCCGTCATTCAACACTGATGTAATTTTTCGGATCATAACATTAGCAGTATTGTTTTGAGAAAAAAAATCTGGCCGGATTCATTTAGAATCAAAAAGTAGACGTCTCTCGCTGAGTCTCGCGATTATTAGGTGTGGTAAAATAGAACAAAATGGCGAAACACTAATCGATGGTTGCAAAATGTAAGAATCGTTTAGTGTGTTAAAACAGTGGATTACTTTGACAAAATGGCAGATACAGATGTTGACATATCAAGACTTCCAGAGGATGTAAGGGAACGTCTAGCTGAACTTGATCTTGAGCTATCTGAAGGTAAGCAACAAAGAATTTGGCTCCGGCAGGACTGCCGACTGGCCGACTGCTCAAAGCAAGCGATTCAGCTTCTGCTGCACATTAGTGTGCTAGACCGCTTTGTTATTAATTTTTAAATTAGTAAACTAACGTAAAATCATGAAAGATCTACACATCTATCAATATACCAGCATAGTTCACCACATAATTAAGCTTTCTGAGTTTAATTAGGCTACTTTACTAGACCATGCATTGCTGTGCTGTTCAAGAACTAAGAAAGAGAGAAACTGATTACTACACACAGATTAACAGATTATGCACACACATTCAGACATTGTTATTATTCCTGTTTATTTATTTATTTATTTTTTATTTAGATTGTGAGTGCTTATATTTGATGAGGGTTAGGGTAAAAAAAACTTTTTAAGAAATAACTTTTTTGCAGTGTCGGTACTGCACTGTCTACTACTGTTTAGGTCTTTAGGATTCAGATAATTCAGAATAGGAAATGAAACACTGTACTGTTAAGGCCTAACACTTAAACACTTAACACATTTTAAATCCATTTTGACTAGTATAGATCTAGGCTAATTCAAACTCACAAATAAAAGAAATATGAGAAGTAATATGGTGAGATGGTTGATGTACTTGCGATCTCATCACAAACAAGAAATATAGTAATAGTAGTATAGTAGGGCCTATAGGCAGTATACATGCATAATATAGATCTTAGCTTTCCTAGTTGAGCAGCTACCTTAATAGGATCCAAAGCCTTGATTTTGGATTGACAGTTGTGCAGCATGCTGTACCATGTTACTATTTCTACAAATATGCATAATGGTTTCTACACGTTATTCCCTCTCAACTGGGAATAGCCACTTTGTTTCTATTTGCATGCAAAAATTTTTATGGGTTGTAACAGGCTGAACAAACCAAAACCACAAATCATGGGATTCTCAAAGTGAAAAAAACCCTGATTCTTCAACACATTCTAATAATTTCCAAAATTTCAAGAAAGAAAAAAAAAGGCAACATATTAAGATAGGTAATGTTGACATAAATAAAAAGCTTGATGACATCTCAAAAGAAAATTTTAAATGTGACTTTCTTAAATTTTTTTTTCTAGGCTACTAAATAGGCAATTATTGAAGGTTGTGGGACAATAAGCAATGTATATATCCAGCTTTTTGTACTGGATCTCTTTTTTTAAGGGTACATGGTTATGGTAGCAGGACTAGTGATACACTTCATGGCTTTGATAATCCACAGTTATTTTTGATAAGCAGGTTACTTCCATGATTGCCAGGAAGGCTGTTATATTGATTCATTGAAGATATTTTTACAGTTATTGACTACTCGTTTTGCTGATACTGTAACCCAGGAGTAAATTAAACTAGATGAGGGTCGGGGCTTGTATTTTAATTAGAAGAGAGTCTTCATCAACATTCCTAGGTTCCTAGCGAAATATAGCACTTTTTGCAATCTCTTGTCAGTTTTTAAAGTTTTAAATGACATATCACTCCATTAGAATTAGGTCGAAATTCGGTCTCAAAGATTTTATCACTAAACCAGGAAGAGACAAATATTGTGATCTAAAAATATTTATGTTACTACCGAGTCTATTCCACTGCTCGGCAACACCAAATGTTACCGAGTCTATTTACTTGTAGTGCCAAATGTTACCGATTTCACTGCTGACCTTTGACCAGCACACAACATCGACCACAATATAGATACTCGGAAATGCAGGTTTACATTGATCTCTTTATTACATGAATCAATAGAAATGCTCCACATAACAATGCATCAAAGGTCCACAAGAATACAATGAACCAACTGACCCCCACTGTCCTCACTAGTCCTAACATAACAGAATGCACGTGTCCATCGTTCCTATTCTCACGAATCACACACGTCTACACCGTTCAGTAACCAACTGGGTTCTCAACTGTCCTCAACTCCAATACGTCGTCTTATATATCTCCCACGTACATGTAATAGTTTCCACTCGTTGCATCAGCCTGTTGAACTGCGCAGCTCTATCGTATCGCTTCCCAAAATACGCCTTGGCTTTGTGTTCGTTATCAGTCTACCATCTGCACTATTGCATCAGACTGTAATACGTTGTTAACCATAGTCTTTAGTTGACAGACTGTATTGCGTTCTACTTATCGTCCCTAGTAACTTACACTAGTTACATTTAAATGACAGAATAAGTTACTACATCATACGATTATCTTTAGAGGTCTTTCTCATATGACCTCTATTGACCTGACAATACAATTATATGTGCACACAGAAATTTTAATTTATGAAACCATGTTAAAATATCTTGTATACTAATTGTTTTAAGGTTGAGCAATCTTGTGATTCCTCAACAATAACTGTCCTAGCTACAAACATTTTCGAGCAAGAGTGATCTGTAAATTTTTCTGTACTTGTTTGCAAGCACTGAGATAGTCTGCTAGGGATAGCTCAGAAAGCTACGTTCTTTCATGTGTAAAGTTCTCAGAAACAAATTCACTGTATTGATTTTGGAAGGGTACACAAAGCATAAATAAAGAAGACCCATAGGCTGGGTTTTTCTACACCGCTCAATGTCTTTTCATATTCACAAACCACACGTCAGTCTGTTAATTGGAAGAAAAATAAAGCATATTATCTCTATCTGGTCATGAACTTACTGTTTGGGGTAACAGAAAGGTTAAAATTTTAATTAATGCATGTGTTTTGCGTAATCTGTTTTGAACTGATTATGCTGTGGTATAGATAATAAATGAATAAACATAAAAAAAATTATTTAGTAGTTTCTCTACTAATGGAACAGTTTGATACAGCACTTAATAACTAAAACAAAAGTTGATAATTAACTAAGCTTGAGTCTGTCAAGAAATCCCTTGGTCCATCTTGATTGACGTTGGGAAAATAAATATGGTTGGGCATGATAAGTCTTGGTGATCACACATCATTCATGCTCTGTGGTTTAAAGAAATATATAGACTCTACAATGTGTCTGAAAGGTTGTAAATGGTTTTAAAATAGTAATTAACCGACAAACAGCTGTAGTCAATCCTTTGTTCTCAAGCAACAATTATAGTTCTTCTTTAAGTAATGAATCTAAAAGTTTAAAAAAATTAAATTATAACACTAAATGCAACTAATATTACAAGATTTTGTTTTACTTCAGTTAATTTAATTAACTTTGTTATATATAATTTGAAATGATGGCTTGCACCATGAATAAAATTGTATACATTTCTATATAGACCATACTTCTTCTTTGTACTGTTATGTTCTTTTTAATTTTACTATAAAGTCATTCCTCAAGCTCCACTCAATGCTTAGTACATTTTAAACATGATGTTCTGTTTCAACCATCAATTGTATATGCATTTAAATTGATCAAAAGCTACATTTTTGCTCTGTATAGAACTAGAACTATTTTCTGACAATGTTATAAGCTGTCCCTAAGATGTACTATTAGTTTTATTTCAGTTAGCTTCATTTAGTTATTTGATTATTGATACATTTACTTTAAATAATACTGTGACTTAACTTTAAACTATTTCAGTACCGTAGACTTAATGAGTCACACACTCCCTCCACTCTCCAGATGCTTGATTTTACACTTGACCCAACCCAATCAGCAGTGTTCACTATTGCTTATATAGTCATGTCAAGTTTTGTCAGGGTTTTCTTCTGAAAAACATATTGACTGTATTTTTTTTAAAAATTCTTTTTGCCCAGTCTTCTTCTTTGTTTCTTATTTTAAAATATAGGAGGGGATTTCCTCCAATGCAAATAATCATTTTGTATCAACATTAGTGCACCATAAGGTTAATTGTCTCTGACTTCAACCTGCTTTTCTTTTTGGATTTGCTTCCATACAATAAATTATAAATTAACTAAGATCTTTAGTTGTAAATAACCTTTATGTTTGTAAGTATCACAACTTTAGTTGAAATGATCTTGTCTAATTGATAACAAAATGTGTTATGTTGGCCATTACTTTCACAACATAGATCATGCCAATCATGTTAAAGCATATAATCCTTTGACATTCATGTTCTATTGTTTGTCTATCTCTTGTCTATTGGGGTTCATTGTTGTGAACTTCATTATTCACTTGACTTTTCTTCCCCCCCCCCTCCTATTCATTATTGTGTCTCATAAGCTGACACAATTGTGTGTGTTTTTTATTGATTTCAAGATAATGAAAACTAAAAAATGTTCTGTTGCATAACACTATTTTAATTAACATCTTATTTATTTTATACATTTCTTTTCCTTTAAAAATAAACCCAGATAATTTATTCCATTTAAATAATAGCAGATCATTCACTGGTAGCCAGGCTCCATTAAACTTGTTGTTGGTGTTGTGAGTCACTCAAATGGGGGGGGGGGGCGGAGGAGTAGATTAGATTGGGTAGGGTGAGACAGCTGATAAGGAATGCAGTGGTGGTATGATAAGCACAGGTTTATTTGCCCAGTGTTTTGTGTGTATGCATGACTAATTGTTCATACCATAATCTAGTTAAAACTATTAGGGGAGGTATGGGCCAGATTATTTTTTTTTATCCATCAAGCAAATCAGATTTATTGTGAGCAGTGATGAAAGAATTAAGGATTGCACATCTCAAGGTTACCCTCCTACCTTTACTGCAACACATCTTAGAGGTGCCTCGGTTTTCTATTTGTTTATGTTTCCCAGGAGGGGGAGAGTGGTACGGAGATAATAAGAGGCTTGTACGGCAACATACACTGCAGAGAAACCTCTTCTTTGTTCTAGCTTCAACTCTTGTTTAGAGTTAGATATGTCAATTTTTTTTTAAACTCTGATCATATTTCTTTGGCTCGTTTTTAACTGTAAACATTCCCCCTCCCTAATGGTGGTTCTACTGCATTATGTGGACCTTTTTTTTGTTTTACCTCCATTGAATATTTTATCATTTACCTGTAGGTAAATAGGCATTCATACGTTTATATAATCATTTACATGTTTTTAATTTAATAGTGAAAAT